AATGTATATTAAAAATAGCAAAGGACCCAATATGCTATCTTGCGGCACGCCACAACTGAGGGTAGGGGCAGATAATAGTTTGACACATCTCTGAGTTCGGCCACTCAAGTACGACGAGAACCACTTAATACCTGCCAGATCGACACCCAAGTATGACATCTTATTGAGGAAATACTGAGGAATCACACATCTTACTGAGGCAATACTGAAGAATTACCTTAAAAGAGATGAGTTTTATTCAATGCCCACACATACCTTCATCACCTTTATCGTCGTCCTTTGCCTGTTCATCTCCCTCGCCTTCACCTTGCTACACAGTGAAAAAATACGTCTATCATTACCAGAATAAATGATTGGTTAACCCTTTAACTCTCACAATTGACCAATACATAATTTGCCCTTACAGTATCAATGCCAATTGTCAATTGGTAAATGAGTGAAGAGAATAAAGAAAAATATCAATAAGGGAATTGTTAGTTGAACCATTACCAAATTCTCCTAACTCACATCATAAGAATTGTAAGGCAGACAATAAGTTGAATTGTTAGCTAGCTGTCCAGTGCAGTATACATTTACTACCCAAATTTATATCAATCACCACACACAGTTAAGATGTAAGATAATTAAAAGTGTAATTTTGATTTTTAATTCAATTACTCACTTCTTCTTCTTCTTCATCCTCTTCTTCTTCACCCTCCCTGTATTCTACCTCTGCCACGTAATAATTTGACTCAATACCAAACACTTTTCCTGTGGAATTAAAATAAGTGTTATTCAATGGACCTTACAGTTGAGAATTTTGCATAACCTTCCCTTTCCAGTCACACCAATTAATGGCTACATAAAACTGTACAAAAAAATAACATTTTCAAATTTCTTTCACTATCTCCCAATCTCTTTACGATTGATGCATGGCATTCAGGAGCATCCACATGAGGCATGGAGACACTTGCACTATTACCAAAATATTTACATGGTTATCAAATAACCTTATCAAATGAGTTAACCCCCAAATATGCATTTCAAGTACAATTATGTTAGCTAGCCCCATTATTGGAATTTGACATCATGGCTTGTCAGCCTTGTAGTCTCAAAAACCTTTCATGAGCTGGTGCTGGTAGTTTAATGTTCTTAATGAATCATGCAAGCTAGTCTCTTAATTTCCACCCCTTTCTACGCGATTCAATCAATTTTATAGTTCTCAGTTACCTGAGCCATTTTAAAATATCATGAGCTGAATCAGCTCAGTAAATTTGCAATCCTGAGGTGACATTAACTCAATTTTTACCAAATGAATTATGTTTAAAAGTTGTTATCTTCATTAATCATACCAAGGTATGACCAAATAGCTAAGCAATTTGAATATTGTTACAATATACTGTAATCTATATATAATTATGATCCTTGAATTTTATGCTAACAAAAATCTAGGCAGACAATATAAAATACACCAAAAAGGGCTTGAAGGTGCCAACTTGGTTCGAAACATTTAACTAAAATCAAACAAAAACAAATTACAGTGATTGTAAATTCTATTTCTTACCCCAAAAACGAACCATTTGTAATGGTTTAGTATCAACTAGCTGCTTCAATGCAAGAAATAATCTGAACATTTCTTCACGGCTCAGTCCAATTCCAGCTTGTTCAAAGTAGAAATTTAAATTTATGAGATCAGGGAGAGGAGTTTCAATGTCTTCTTCTGCCTCAGGTTCACCACCTTCTCCATCACCATCTTTCTAAAAAATTATACAAATGCAAAAAAACACAGCCTTAAATTACTTCTGACTGAGTTGAAAACAGACAATCCACCCCGCTAATGACAGATCATGCTATTAACATGGAGAATACCAACTCAGTTGTCAAAAGTTTTTAATACTTGACTTTCAATTGAACACAGAGTATTTCAACGATCGACAGACTATAAAAAGCTGGCATGCCATGCCATGAACCCTCAACAAAACAAAAAGTTAAACAAACTTTCATTTTATTTTATTCATTTTATTTTAATTATTAGCTTTGCCCTGAATAATAATAATAATAATAATAATAAAAACTGAGGATATACAAGCCTAGTAATAAGTAATAAGAACATAACAATACACTAATAATAACTTTAAAGTTTGGGCAGGGACACCACAACAGCTGAGGCTAATTACTGCGGACCCAGAAATAAAAGTATTTAAAAGTATACATTAAATAATTATATAAAGTATCTATAATAGATATTTATAAATATATAGTTACTGTAACAATACAAGTTCAAAACAGAGTCAAGCAATCTCAATTTCAACCAGTCATCCTTAATTTGGAAGGGTAAAAGTCAGTCAGGAAGACTTTTTTGCCATTAGAACACTCTGATTGAATGACCTTATGCCATGAGTGGATCCAGGGATTGTTCAGGTGGTTTGGCAAACCCCCCTACACAACTGAACTGAAACACATCTAAAAACCTGTAATTTTTTTGTCTTTTTTACCCTAAAAAACATTCCTTAAAACACTAGAACTTAAACTTATTAAGAACTTTACTCAACATTCTTGGAAGGGGCATGCCCCCTTATCCCCCATGGAATTTCTACCTTTGGGTAAGAGATTTTTCCAGACCCCCCTTCACTAAATCCTAGATCCCCCCCTAGTATGCAACCTTGTAAAAAGTGCTCATTTATGAAATCAGTCATTCTCATTGTGCCTATAGGTTAACAGGACTAACTACACTTAATAATTGGAACTCAAACTGTGATCCCTATTATAATTTGACAAGCTGACCTCAAACAATTTCTGGTGTATTTCAGCAATCTCTTTACTTTCCTTATCATCTTCAGGTTCCTGGAAATAATTGGAAAAAGTTCAGTCACAATTTATTTGAATCATTCAACTGCAATGGATTTGGATATATTTTTTGAATAATTTTTTTCAGAATTTGCCCTTTATAGAAAAGATGTCAACTTGCACTGACTTGACAAGACTCTGATAACAATTCTATTTACAATTATGCTAAGATGCTGCTTTTTCAAACAGAAAAAGAGAGGAATACTTTCAACTGGCAAAATCAAAATTGTGTAAAAGAAAACAAAATATTGAATGCTGTAAATTTAAACTGCTATTTACGCAGAAATTTTTTAAGGGACAGACAAGCATTAGATCAAACAGAAATATAATGTAATAATGTAATGTATCAATTGATTATCCTATAAAAATAGTTTGTACACTCCAATTCACTCCTCTTTCTGAAACATACCCAAACCTACAATCAGCATCAAAATTAGTTGACACATCATGTTTGAATAACAGTCCTATTTTGACTACTCTCTAGATGCTGGATAAAGTTCATGAGGTCATGCAACAACATTTTTTGAGAGGGACTGGGGCAAAGAGGTGAACTTAACAACTTAGGGTAAAGAGATAAATTGAAGTGATGGGGGGGTTGAAATGATCAAGGAGCCAACAATTTTTCAGCCAATTACAGCTACAAGAAAACTTCAGACTACCCTAATTCCTCCCACAAAACACTCAAGATGTAGCAATCACTTGTAGCAGGTGAGATCAAATAGATAAAAAACTTGACACAACATCAGATACTTAATGCAAATATAAAGGCTGTATTGAAAGAGTTGAAAATGCTACATTATTCCCAAAGAGATATGAAATAAATGACAAGTTCTGTAATAAAGCAAATCCTACCTCAGGTTCCTCAGTCCTTCCTTTTTTTACGATTTTGCTGATGTCTTCAAACACATCTGTATTCAGTTGGTATCATCAAAACAAAGAGCACTAATCAGTCCAAAGCTTACCAGCAAAAATCAACCCTTTTTTTTAAACAAAATATCTGTTCTTTAATTGTTTCTTGTGTATGAATGCAATATGAACCTCTGCCCCCTCCCTCCCCCCCTCACCTAACCAAGCTCAAGAAAATTAATATTTGACATTTTGGCATTCAGTAAACTTTTAATCAGCATGGCCTCTCCCTCCATTTAGCCACTGAGTTGTAAGCCCTGGTAACCAATAAATGCCTCCTCCCCAGGACTAATCAGGGTGTTAAAAAATATATCCCTACACTAACTGTGGCATACCATAGACACACAGGTTATACACTCTAAGTTCATCAAAAATACTCTACTTCAAACCATAGCTTGCACTGTAAAAATACGCCAAGAGATGTAGATGTCTTGGGAGGAGACTTAAATCAATTCAAGACATTTTCACTGGAAGATAAACGAAATAAGGTGAAGGGAAAAAGCTTAAAAGCAGAAAAAAACAATATGATTAAATAAAATACCATACATACCTACACAGCGATCTGGCCTTTCCTCCAAGATTTTGCCTAGTACATCGCTTAAATGATCATATCTGAATTTATACAAAAGAGAACAATCAAGGAATAGCTAAAAATTTGTACACTAATTCTTTCAAAAGGGGTATGTCATTTCAGCTGACACATTTCACGTCTTTAACCACTTACTTCCACTAACTGGAGGTAGCTTGGATTAAGCTTTTGTTAAGCCAGCCTATTTGCAAGAGTTAATTTGTCACTATAGACTGAGACAGTCACACATGTTATGCATATTCCCCATTTGTCACACTGCTCGTTAGACCACAAATACTGTGTATGGGATTCAAGCCTGTCGATTAAGTGCGACACTTTGTCCTTTCCTATTTTTAGAAGGCATCACTTGCTAGCGAACAAAAAATATAGCACGTAGGGCTAAAAATAAAACCGTTTTACCAAATAGATGTAGAGCTTATCATTTCAGCCACAACTGCAGCGCAGATTGCAATGCTAGTTATCACGATCGACATCACAGTCAAGGGATCAGCAGATACTTACAAATTTTTAGATGATGTCGAACTTGTTTTCAGAAGGAAGGCTTTAGCTTTTTCTATCTCTTCCTGCATATTTAAAACGGTTTATCGCTTTTAGCCAGTATCTAATGCTACCTACAGTTCGACCACTTTATTAGAAGTTCCCATGACAACGAGAACGATATAGAGTCCAGTCCCTTAGCACTGCTGTTTGGTCCATCATGGCAGCTTCTGGCAAACAAGAAGTGTTCGTCATAACAGGGGTATCCACAGGTTTAGGCCTTGCCATGGTAAAATGGTACATATCCCAAGGCCATATAGTGTTAGGATGTGCACGCTCAGCTCAAAAGATAAATCAGTTGAATGACGAGTTTTGTAAAGGGGGCAAACAAAATCAGTTCTCTGTCGTTGACATTCTGAACGAGGCAGACGTGAAACGATGGTCACAAGACGTTACTTCTGGCTTTGGAGCGCCGACTTTTCTCCTCAATAATGCATCTCTAATCAATAATAATGCGTGTTTGTGGCAGATTTCTGGAGAAGAGTTCAACAGTGTGATCGATGTCAACATCAAGGGTACTACGAATGTTATTCGCCATTTTGTTCCCGAAATGATAAAAGTGGGAAAAGGTGTGGTCGTTAATTTTAGTTCTGGCTGGGGTAGGAGTGTGGCGGCGTATGAAGCTCCATATTGTGCTTCCAAGTGGGCCATTGAGGGGCTTTCTAAAGCAATGGCGCTTGAGTTACCAGCACCGCTGACATGTGTTCCCTTGAACCCAGGAGTCATCAATACACCTATGTTAGAGACAACCTTTGGAAAACAAGGTGCAGCACTGTATAGGACACCTGAAGAATGGGCCCAAGATGCTTGTCCATTCATTTTGTCCATTGACCACTCTCAGAATGGAATGAGCCTCACAGCTCCATAGTATTCAAACAGAGATGAACATGTTGACCAGCATTAACGAAGCATACACTATTGAGTTGGTAGAAGTGAAGAACAGTTTCCTCAAGATATTGTTGGCCAACATGCATGTGGGAGGTTGCTAAGCACTCAAGAAGTTAGAGTCCTTCTTAGCTAAACTCGGCTGTTGCCTTGAACGACCTTGAGTGACTCTTACGCTTTCGTGCTTAGCCACTCCCTACATACATCTATAACTCAGTAGTGTATCCTGTGGTGTTTAACATTTGTTTACAACAGACACTGAACTGTTCAATGGGAGCGTGTGCTTTACATGATTTATGTTAAAAATAAATTTGGATCTGAGATTGGATTGACAGATTTGAAGACAGAAGGGATATAGATTGTGAATGAGGGGCAGAGAATATGTGTATCTAAGAAATAAAGTGTAGGGTGGATAAGTTCCTAAATTAAGCTTGGATGAAGAACTCTTCCTGTCTAAATGTTCAGATCATAGCTTGTAACCAAAGTCTGCATCACTGCTTTTTTTATATTCTTTGTCTTTACCTAATCACATTTTAGCATTTACTGTTTTATTTTTTGAATACTTAAAACTTTTAAAGTTTGAGTTGGTTGTTGAAATCATTAAAAAACTTTAAGCATATGTTTGTGGCTCAATTATGTCTAGGCTGAAATGTGTTTCTAATCAGCTTTTTTTTTAATACAGTGGAACCCCGATATAACGATATGCCAAGGGAGCAGTGGAATTGGGTCATTGTATCGAGTTATTGTTATATCGAGACGGGGTTCTGTCCCATACATATACTGTAACTTTTGCTGGGACATAGCATATTTATCATTGTACCGGGAATATCATTTTATTGAGGATCGTTGTATTGGGGTTCCACTGTATGGAGCTTCTGTTCCTATTTCTTATTTATGACTTACAGATGTCACAAGTACACAAGTACTTATGAGTACCCAAGAATAAGAGTCAAACAAAGATGAGATCAAATGATATCTACTGAAACATTTCTCTTTCCCAAACAAGGGTTCTAGTTGTGATTCTGGTTTGTGAAATGGTGCTTTTTCTTAATTTTGCATAAACAGGTCTTTGGGGTTCAATAATTACATTTTTCTACTTTTTTTTCTAGCAAAAGAAAGTTGAAAAAAAACAATCCAAAAAATGTTTCAAATTTTTTACTTGCCAAGTTTGGAAGTAGCTCATAGATGGATATGATAATTATGTCCCAATGTGAAGAATACAAATTGACACTTAATGGTAGTGTATTATCAAACGATATTTCATATAGAGAGAAAAAATTCAAGTTGACTCAAACTTGTCTCGTGAGCCGGGACTGAAACTTGTCTTGTGACTCGAACTTTACTCGTGATACGTTGTACAACTCTTTCTGATCTATCATGGCATCTGTCGGTAAAAAAGAAGTAATCGTCATAACAGGGGTATCTACAGGCTTAGGCCTTGCCATGGTGAAATGGTACATATCCCAAGGCCATACAGTGTTAGGATGTGCACGCTCAGCTCAAAAGATAAATCAGTTGAATGACGAGTTCGACGAGTTCGGTAAAGGGGGCGAACAAAATCAGTTCACTGTCGTTGACATTCTGAACGAGGCAGACGTGAAACGTTGGTCACAAGATGTTATTTCTAGCTTTGGAGCGCCGACGTTTCTCCTCAATAATGCTTCTGTTGCCAACAATAAGGCTTGCTTGTGGCAGATTTCTGGAGAAGAGTTCAACGGTGTGATCGATGTCAACGTTAAGGGTACCACGAATGTCATACGCCATTTTGTACCCGAAATGATAAAAGCGGGAAAGGGTGTGGTCGTTAATTTTAGTTCTATCGGTGGAAGAAGTTCGTCGCCAAATGTAGCTCCATATTGTGCTTCCAAGTTTGCTATTGAGGGGCTTTCTAAAGCAATGGCACTTGAGTTACCAGCACCGCTGACATGTGTTCCGTTGCACCCAGGAGTCATCAACACACCTATGTTGCAGAAATTATTGGGAGAACAACATGCAGCCATGTATAAGTCGCCAGAGGCATGGGCCCAGGATGCCTGTCCATTCATTCTGGCCATTGACCACTCTCAGAATGGAATGAGCCTCACAGCTCCATAGATTTATTACATAGTTGTTTTGCAAACTGTGTATGCTTAGTGAGGGTCTAAAGAGAAACAGACATTTTTAAAAGTAACTGTCTAGCACAAACCATCGTAGCCCATAAAACAGAAAAAAGTACTGTTAATGGAATTATTTTGGAACTTGTGAATAGTGTGTATTGAGTCCCAGCGGTTTTTCTTTACAACCATTTCTAGCTAAAGGAGCATGATGGAAACTCCAATTAAACTGTCATATGACTTTCAGGACAGATAGGAATTTCATATATTTATATTGGGGGTAATACACAAGAGAAGCATTTAATAATTTTAGTTTAGAAAATGGCCATCATTTTAATGAAGAATTTGTAAATGTGTGGTTTGAAAAAATTATATATTTGCTTTTTCCAGTACTACTTAACAATTGGTTCATGCTTTAGCGTGCACTATCGAGTTATGGAGCACGCGGGAAGTTTGGAGAGCACGAAAGAAGCGTAAGAGTTGCCCGAGGCGATAGCCGAGGGCAACTCTAGCTTCTTGAGTGCTCTCCAAACTTCCCACGTGCTCCATAACTCGATAGTGCACAGCTGAAAGCATGAACCAATTGTTTTAGAACATAGCCGGTGGAATTGTGCATCAAATGCGACGCGAAAAACGGACAACAATATCAGTTGAAGCGAATCGTGACGGCGCTGATGCCGAGTCTCCTTTTCCTTTGTTTTTCTCTTTTTCTGCCTCATTTAAGAACTCTAGCCCATGGGAAAAGGTCGAAACATTGTCTTCGTTTTCGGACTAGCAGGCCGAGTTTCTGTTTGTATCCATTATTGTCGCGAAATGTATTATTTTTCCCCGCACTAGCAATGGCCGCTCGCGCGAAAAAAAAATTTCTGGCGAAGTCGGATTTGCTGACGCTATCAGCGTGCACTATCGGGATTTTGAGCACGCTTACGTATAATGAATTTGATTGCGCGACTCTGCTAGCTATGTTCTAATAGTTTANTTCGGATTTAGAGCAAAATTTTAACGGATTTGCGGATCCTGAAATTGCAACGGTTCGCGGTTTCGTCGATTTTTTAGATTCGGATTTTGGATTTTGCTTGTGAGGAAGTTCGGATCGTGGATCTGAACGATCGTCAGAAATGCGTTGTTTTCTGAGTATGTGTATTTTTTTGTCACGGACGAGACTCTCTGCATGTCACGTATCAGGGAAATAGTAACGTACTGGGACGTCTGCTGTGTTCGCGCCCTTATCCATGACACTGTACCCCACCGATTGCGATTCGCTCGACGGGAAAGCCATTGCCTAGCTAACACACAACAGCTCAAGGTGCGTTTTCCACCTTTTTACGAGACAAGTAGCGAAGGGATTCGGATTTAACAATTTTTTTTAACGGATTGACGGATTTCGTAGCGGATCGGTGGATTTGCATACGCCTATTCACCTCCCTCCTTATTGGTCCTTATTCTATTTACAAACTTGTAAGATGTTACAGTTTTGAGAATGTGGGGTGAGTTTGTCTTGTGCAATGAGAATTCAATTTTTCATCATTTCATCATTTGAGGCATGAAGTTTGGTTGTATCAGAGACACATTTAATATGACTTAATCTCTTCCCTGGTGGGTTTCTAGTTACAAGCTCTTCCCCTGAGCCAGAGGGAACTTGAGGTTTAATAGAAAGGTCATATAGTGGACCTTATCATTAGACAAATACGTTCTTTAACAAAGGCACAGGCAAAGACAAATTTGAGATCTTGATTCCAAACGACATAAAATCCAACTGATTTATCAGAATTTCTTACAACACGTGATGAAAGATATGTGTACGCGTTGCATGCCCATGTTTCCATGCAAACAAAAAAAAAAAGTTCTTTGAAAACAACTCAAATAAACCACACTGATAAAAAACGGGCCTGGGTGACCTTTTCTCTTTTAAAGTCAGTTCTTGGCACTTGAATTGGAAAAATGGACAATTCTTCAGACTATTCATGATCTTACCAGTGGTGTATCTAGGGGAGGGGCCCACAGGGCCCGAACACCCCCCGTTATTTTAGGTAAAAAATAAACGCAGAGGGAAGAAAAGCCGGCGGGTGTAGATACGCACTCAAAACTGGACCCCCTCCCCCCCCTTCACCTCAGCTTAAGGTCTGGCTCCGCCACTGGTTAAAAAGTAGGCCTCGACCTGATGTGGTGCGAAGTAAAATGAAAAGGCGCGCATATTCGAAGGAGACATTTTCTTGACGAATTCATCGCGTGCACACGATTTAAGGCTTCTCGAAGCTGTGTAAAATGGTACGAACGAAAGCGGACAGTGCAGGAAGGAAAGGTATGTGAATTAATTATACGCTGGTTTAAATGTTAGCGTTAAAACCGGCAGTTGGTTATCGAGACCGAGGATTTGATCGCGAGTCATGTTCATTTCATTGATATAACAATGGCTTCTTTTTTATCCGATTTTCTGGTAAATCTGGGTACAAAAACAGAAGATCGCCTTGGAGGAATCATGTTCGCTCGTGTTGAAAGTATCGAGGACTCATTTCTTACCATTGCTTTCAAGTTAAACTGATCTGAAGGGTAATCTTTGCGTGTAAGAGATAAGTGTTTCGTCAAAGAAATGTTTGCCTTCGCTCAACTCACGTGTGTACATTAGCTCTGTGCAGCTCGGTTTGTACAATGAGAGAATGTTATGCATAGAACTGCCCTATTTCCGGTTTCGGAAAAGCCTTGGTATTGATTTTCTATAACCAGAAGAGAGTTGTTGTACCACACAACAATGCCATTCAGATTTTAGGGTCTCTCCATCATTTTGTGCGCAAGATTTACGAGTTGAATTGTGTTTTGAAATTTAAGAAAGCAACTCCTTAAAACTAGCCCAACTAACAAGGGAAACGGTTTGTCTCAACCACTGAGGTTAGTTTGGCTATTACAGCTATTTAAATTTTCAGACCATGTGACCAAAGGTTCAGTGAGCCTTTGGAGGAATCATTTTGGAAACGTGTTCAAAATTTAGTAACGGATCACTGTTCTGACTGTTGCACATTATGTAATTTGCTTTCCCAGCTGTTGGTGCCAAAGCTCCTCGTAAACAATTTTGTGCTTCATCATCATCTGTTGGTTCACCAAACAACTCAGGAGGAGGCAAGAACAAGAACAGTGGAGGAAATCCTGTCAAGTGGTGGCCATCCCCCAAATGGCAAAAAGGTAAATTCCTGCAACAGAAAGCAGTCAAGGATACATATCAGTTTCTAATCCTTTTTTCTTTTTTTTTTTTATAGGAAGGTGGGAAAAATGACAATAATTCACTTCCTAAAACCTGGCTTGTTTGGGATTGCATTGCTTGGGTAGTTGTGTGTGATTGCATAAAACCTTGTTAAGTTTTGGGAACTATCCATTTTCCCACCCTACATGCTCTTTTGTTGACCTCTGACCTTTAAGACTCGCAGTTTTACTCTGTCTTCTCCCTGGTTAAAAAAAATCCTGTGTTAACATCCCACCTCTCAGATTCTATTCTAACTATATGGTTTGGGTTATTTCTTTTAACAGATTTACAAAAAATCGTATCAGCAGGAGGTCAATTGGATTAAGAAGAGATATGAGAAGCTAAATTACACATTAACTAGTTCAGGGGTTTTAAAAAAACGCTGGCAACCACTGCGGTTCTGCTGATTAATTTGATATTTATTCTGGTCAACATAGTTATCTTTTGGTTTTAGTGAACTCACAGACGCATGTTTTTGCAGAGTCTGATGCTTTCTTCAAACGTTTTAAACCCCTGAGTCTTATTCCCCTAAAGAGGGAATAACTAGATTTGCAGATGAGTGGATTTAGCCTTGAACATCATGAATTGGGAGTCTATGAAATAAAATCTTACAGATTTGCAAATGTTAAAATTACCAAGGATTGAAGCCTGAAATTCCATGCAACATCATTTGGCCAGGTCCTCCTTATTACTCGTCTGGTACTCTCATTACTGCTTCATGTGTTGGGGTTGTAGTAGTAATATAATTAGCAGGTTGGATTTGAATAATAACATATCAGGGAGGAGAAGAGGTCCCCTATTCCATGTCTCTGCTGGACCTAGAATGAATAGATGGGTTTACGCCCATGCTCTACCCAGGAGTAAAGCTGAATGCTGGAAAACATTCAGGAGAACATGAAGCATTGCATGGGGCTGTGTATGGTGGAGTTGCCTCTCATCCAACGGAGTAGTTGTGTGATACTAATATTACACTGGCGTAAGTGGTGGCAATCAAAATGCCAGTTTATGATTAGGCTCTTTAAGCACTTTTTGAAACAAAAGGTATGTAGCTCTAGTATGCAGTGTCAGCGCTCAAGTGGTTTATGTCAGCGCATGTATTGATATATTTTCAGGCATTGGACAGTTCTTTCCTAAAGATGGTGCAAGTAATGAAGATTCCACTGAAAAACCACAGGTAACAGATGCAAACGGTCAGCCAGGGACCTCCTCTGAAGAATTGGGAATGGAAGGAGTTAATCCAATTGATGAAGACTGAGCATCAATCCATATTATCATTTATAACATTTCATTCATTCTTCATTTTTTTAACAGTTTCAGGAGTGTCTAACTAGCTACATCCATCAACTGATATTTTTTTGACAACTTAAATTAAGGGATATATTAGTATACTGTGACCAGTCTAGGAAGGTTATGAAGTTTAGTCTTTTGACCCCGAGTATTCCTTTTATTTTTTACTCTCTCAAAGCATCATATGTCACACAAAAATATCAGATGTGTTTACCCATTCATTGTTTCTTATGTACTCAATTCACTCAAAGACTTCAAATATTTTGCATAGAATTGGCATGTAGTTTTAACTGTTCAGTAGTATAATTTGCCATCTCAAAAGTAGTACTGTCAAATACCCTGTAGATATTATATATATTTCTTAACAATCATGGTGTAAATGTATTAAACTTGAGGAGTGTCAACAAGTATGTAGTTTTCTCTCTGTACTGTTTATAACTGTTGAGTGATCTAAATATATTAATGTACATCATTTTTCATGTTTACAATGTGGGCGGTGTTGCAAACTAGTACCAAGAAGGTGCAAACTAGTGCATCTCTAAGAAAAAATAGCTCATAGGCCAACTTCATTTGATTTGAATAAAACTTTTTTGCTATGGTAATAAAAGCTGAAAGGGAGATACCCTTTACAAACCCTATACCTTTCATCACCATCATTGAAAAGTACAGAATTGTACTACATACCCTACTTTGAGACTTACAGAGTAAACTAATTTGTTAATAATTGTCTTCCATTGTGCCAAGAATTTAACTATGGACACTGCAATGTAGACAGAAATTAAGTAAGAATAGATATGGAAATACATAACTTGAACATCATGTTTGAAAATTGTAGAAACCCTCTTGGGATGATGGATAATAGTGAAACACATTCATTTGTTCCTGATCAATAGATCATCCCTCAAATTTGTGGCAGATTTGAAACAGATGGTATCCATAAACTCATCTCAGTCAGTTTAGTAGTTGAATACTATGTATGTAAAGTCTCTGGAGAACCATAAAATGGTATGAGAATGGTAATGTTCCTTAGCATTCAATATCACTAACAAATATCAACAATAACGTATGGAAGACACCACCAGTAAAAGCTAATATATCATATCTCGAGGTTGTTTCCTAATTCAAAAGACCACAACTGAACTGTCCAAAAAATCATTGCTCTTTTCCTATTCACCACTGATTACAAGTAAAACTTTTCAGGGTTCCTTTGTTGCTTGTTTTACTATCACAGAATTCAAGTAGTTCACCCATGCTTAAATTTACACTGATTTAATTGCTGCATTAAAGAAAAGCAAGGCAATAAGGACAAAGCAGAACCATCCCCTCGCAATTAATTTTATTAATTGACTAAATAGTGTGACAGGGAATTACAAACTGACTAACCTTATAACATGTACAATATGAAATGAACAAAATCTTCTTTCCTATTGATCTAAATTACACCTTTGTGACATACACTTCTTCACCTTTAATTGGTGCTTACTATAACAATACTTATAACTAAAAAAAAACCTTAGTATGTGCAAGGATTGACAATCACATCAATCAACTGCACTATTTTAACAGTAACCTCACTCTTTACAATAAATAACTCAGTTTGCCTATGCTTCTCTTTAAAGATGATTTTTTTAAATCTAAACACGCTAGACCATTTTGAACTTTTTAAGAATAAGAGCTGTATCAGCTGGTGTCTGACTTCATGTTCCTCTGTTCAACCCACAAAGTGAAAACCATTCTAAAGACAGGGGAACAAGATGAAGACAGTTCATTTAAGTGAAGACAAAATCTGCCACAAGAAAGTGCAGTTACGGTACTTGGTAAAGCTGCAATTTGTTTTAATCACCTTCTCTTGGTTAAAACCAAAACAAGAAAGTTAGAACTCAAACAAACAAACAAAGGCTCTTCCCATTTGTCAACGTCATTTTAACAGGTTGCTGTTTGACTGGCACACATGATTTAAATAAGTTAATTTTGATTCACGATAACAAGCAGTTTCCCTTGTAGAGAGCCAGTAATTCCTAATGAGATTGGAATCCTGATTGATGATAGATAAAGCAACAATTCTGAAGGAACATTGCTTCTCCTCCTCCTCCTGCAAGGGAAATAGTTCAACAAAATTTGCCCTGATCAATACCCACTACCTTGCAGAGGGGGGGGGAGGGGGGGAGAGGGGAAGCAATGCAAGCCCTTCAACCCTTATTAATCCACAAGAAAGAACAATGAAGTCACTCCAAAGATAATTAATACAAATTAATTTGATGATTTGTACCTGCAGTGTTTGACAATACACTCATTACTACAGTATTGAGTGCCACGTTCCTTTGTTGTACTTGCTGGCTTGTTGCAGCCATTGCACAAACACATTCGTTGAGTTATTGGCTTCACTGTAACTTTGCTCTTCTGTTGATAGAAAATCAAGTTGTGAGAAATTAGTTCCTGGGGAATAACCCTTCCATGAAAAAATGTCCAGGCAATTAAAATTTGATTGTAATAACTTGAAGGAGAAATATGTTTAGGAACTAGATATTTTTTGGCTCTCCTAAACAAAAAAAACTCTTAATAGTTTACAGTTTACTTCCAGCTACAGTCTGAGAGCAACATGACTTGTTGAATGTTGTCTTCGAATGAACTTCAAATTCAACTATGCACAATGTCACTTCCAAAACCCCACCCAGTAACAGCTACTGCTCCAGTTGTCACACACTCAAGCATGCAAACACACACGTACGCACGCACACACACGCATATGCACACACACAAACACACTATAAAAAAAATTATACCGTCCAGTATTCCAGAAAAGACTGTCTTTTTGCATAAATTGGGATTATTCCATTGCTTAGACACTGACCTTGGTCTTTGTAGAGACTGGGTTGTTGACTGTTGACTGAGTTGTTGTGCCGGTTGGTGCCTTGCTAGCTGCCATTGGAGGTACAGTTGCTACTGGCTTTTCAGCCATAGGAGTCTGACTTAGAGTACGGCTCAAGGGTTTACTGACAGTCACAGCAGGAGTGTCTTTGTTAGGTTCCAATGTAACAGGTACATCCACACTGGGTGATTGTATAGAATCAGTTCTATCACTCTTCCTGAGTTTTACACTTGGTTCTTCCTGTTTCAAAAGGAACAGAGAACATTAGTCATGCTTGTAATAATTCTAGAGGAAATCTAAAACAAATCCTCTCTGACCAACAAAGATGACACCGAACTTAAGAACTGACAAACTAACATGCCGGTATTCTACACTTTTCAATCCAAAAAACAGGATTTTAGAACATAAAAAGAATCAAATGTAACTAGCCATAAATGTGGCACTTCACTTAATAATGAATCTCTATCCCTCAAAACAGTGACATACTAGCATAAACCAAATTCAAAATCACAGTGAAACACTTCACGAAGATTTTTTCTTGATATGCACCCTACCTCTTGAAAGAACGTTTTAGCTTTGTGTTCCTCTTGTGATTTTTTATATTCCTGCTGTGCTTTCTCTTGCAAAGCCTATACATACAAGTGATTTGAAATCAATGAAACCCTCATATATCTGCTGCCTTCATCTAATTGATAAGGCCAGTTACATTTCACGACAACCACTGCATGAAGCTACTAGACAGTTTAATTAACAAGTTATTTGAGATAATGCTGCCTGTGACTGGGAAATGCTGCAGAATATTATCTTATGTTTCAAAGTAATTCAACATGGCAGTGCTATATGTCTTGTGGTTCACCTCTATCCTTGATTCACAATCTAAAATCACACTTTACTATTCACAAAAAAAAAAAGAAAGAAAGAAAAAAATATAAAGGAAGGATGGAATGGAGCCATGCATATGCATCTCCATTAGTGGTATTAAAACATTTGAATGATGACAACAGGATTTATGTTGCCATTGTGAAGTAAAAGCTTTTGCAGTGGGACTGATGCAAGCGAAAATAGCATGTAATCTGGTGGTGCCTCAAAACTGCAATGACCAGAAAGAAAGAAAGAAAATTTAACTTGACTAACTTGTTCATCACTTTTCAAAATTCCATCTTTATATAGTTTAGACAACTAAAGAAATTTTAAATCTCCACCAAATACGCAAGGTCCCCTTCAGCAACAGTAGCTGAGCCCCTAGAACATACTCAAACCCGGAATGAGTACATCACTGAGTGCAAACAGCCTTCTCTATTTTTAAAAATATACTTTTCTATGCCAATCAAGCTAAGAGTTGCTAATCAGCTAAAATGTGTTGACAAACTACAGCAACAGGAAAGCAAGAATAGAGCTAACAGCCTGAGAGAAGACAGTCTACAAGTAAAGAACTGCTGAGAAACAGTAAAAAGGCCAGGCAACAAAGCAGTGGGGTCATTATACCTTTTTGTTGTTTTCAGTTAAGTTTTCCCACATCTGGTCCACAATTTTCCTAATGTCTTCAAACTGAGCCTGTTAGAAATTTAACATTGAATTTATAGAGGATACTACATGGCTGCATGGGGATATGAATTTTATCTTCAAGTACTGTATCTCTCACTCATTCGCTTCACTCACTCATGAGAGATACTTTCTGTTTATTTTATAAATACTGATGAAATTTCCACATAAACCACAACTTTTTTTATTCATTTTCGAAACAGCAAAATAGTGCAATTAAAGTGGTCACCTATCACAAAATGCCTGCCACAAAAATGTTATGAAACTCAGATATAAAGTTATAAAGGAGAAATAAGACAATAATGCTTATATTTTCTGTTCCAAAAAGTCCAATCAATATCACTTTGTGTTGCACCAGTGTTTGACATAAAAATGTACAAAGATTCACATACCGCAGGGTTTTTTGAGCGAATGGTTGCCTGTGTCTCCTTGAAGAACAGCTCATAAGCTGTAAGAGGCCTAAACAATAAAGAAGAAATCTGACTAAGTTAACTTTTAATCTACAAAAACTCCCTTCCAAGTATAATACACATACTTTTATGATAAAGACCATTAATTAGAGATGAGAGTTTTTTGGCTGTGTATTTCTAGTGAATTATGCTAAAACCAACAAGAAATTATATGAGAAATATCAGTTTATAAAAAGGTTTAGAGACAACATTCAAACATTTACTGTAAGGACAGAATAACTTCATTAAAACCAGTAAAGTAGCATCTTATGATTAGCCCTAAAAAGTCTTAATACAAAAAGATGAGAAAAGCAGCTGAGTAAGTTTCCCAGAAAACATGTACCTATAATTTGCATTGAGTAAACTCACTCTAATGGATATTTCCTTAACCTTAGGCAACAAATGCATGATCTGGTATTTACCACTTTGTTCAAGCACAATCACCAGGTTCCATTGTTAGCCAGTTACTCATGCACTTACTTGTTAAGATCCAGACTATCTTTGTCTCTTTTTTTTCGTTTAGTTCCTTTATCTTTCTTTTTCTTTTTTTTTCTCTTAACATCATGAGCACCAGTCACCTTCTTTAGGCTTTCTGCAACTTGCGATAAAGGTGTACTATCATCATCATCGTCATCTTCACTGTCCTGGAGATTCCCACTAATTATTGGCTCTGTGCTAGAACCTAATGCAACTTGTGGTGATGACATCTGATCTTCTGCAAAGCCTGACACAGATGGTTTGATGTTCACTGGTGACAGAGCCTGGCTTGCACCTGATGTTGATGACAATGTAGATGTGGGAGTGGCAGCAACCACTTGACTAATTGCTGTTGCCTCATTGACAAATGTTATCTGAACTACATTACCACTACCTGGCAAAGGTGTTTGTTGCAGAGGTATACTACTTGGCTGTGTGGATCCAACAGTATTTGAGCTTTGTTTACCAAGTGGATTATTTCCAAACAACCCTGGAGATATCTTTTGCTCTGTTGTACCCAACTGCATAAAGGGTTCTGCATTATTTTGCACCATGATTGTTTCACCATTAACTCCACTTACAGATAAAGGATCAGATTTTGCAAATGAGGATATTTTAGTAATGCTTGGATTTGAGATAGCTTCCAGTTGAACATTAGCTCCTCCTTGCTGAGAAAAAGGTAACACAGTCTTGGAATTCAAACCAGGGTTAGCTGCATTCATTAATGTCATTTTCATTGGTTGCTGTTTCACTGACACAGGTGATTTAAGAGTTGAATTTGCATTAACTAAAATCATTTTTACAGGCTGATTTGATGCTGTTACAGGAAGAGATGATTTGGTGACTTGTGAACTCTGAGCTCCTGATGTTGGGTTTTGTGGAACAACATAACAAATAAGTGGTTGACCAGTCTGAATATTTCCTGTTGATGCTACAGTCTGACTAGTAGCTCCCTGTTGCTTGGGCTGTCCAATGGCTTTCACAAGCTGACTCAACAATGCAGGGTTTGATGTGAAAGCTTGTAACGGATTAGTTTGATTGTGTTTTACACCAGCCTGGGTACCAATTGGGTTTATAATAGTCCCTTGCAAAATTTTCTGTGCAGACAAGTTGTTGGGATTTGTACCAGAAACACCCATATTATGAGTAGCTATGTTTTCTCCCTGCAACTGTAGATTAGGTGATTGAACTGCAGGTGCTGACATGGTAATTCTAGAACTCTGAGAATTCACACTTGTTCCTTCCACATTACTTTTAACAGGAACACTATTTGTTGTAAGCTTTGCTGAGTTTACCCCAAATTGAGAAAGAGATGATCCACCTTTGCTGCTTGAAGATGCCACAACTGATGGAACAGCCATCTGTAGCATCTGTGAACTTGTTAGAATCTGGGGGCTATGCGAAGTATATGTCCTTGTGGCTTTTACTGATGACTGAGAAGGAGACAACCCCCCCATATTCTGCAGAGGAGAGCCAGGCTGCATACTGGGTGATGGGTGTCTCACAGATTGATTTGTGGACCTTACTGAAGCAGACAATTTTCCAGCATGGTTTGTTTGTTTTATATTGGGACTTGGACTTCTTGATGATGCCAGTGGACTCCCTGGACTACTGGCACTATTTAGAGGGCTTCCTCCTGTTACTACTCCAAGAGGTAATGTATTTTTTACTCCTGGAACTGTTGGAGCAACTGACAACTGTCCAGGACTTGATGAGCGAACAGGTCCTGTGGAAATGCCCTTTTGTAAGGCATTCGATGCCATCTGTAAATGTGCTGTAGAAGGATTTGGCTCCTGTGGAACTTGAGGTGTGAAAACTATTGGCTCACTGACACCTTGAGGCATATCTCGCTCGACAATTTCATCAATGAGTTGCTCAATATTGGAGTCACCCCCAATTGACTGAAGCTGAGTATTCATACTAACACTGATCAAGGATGGAGGGAGGTTTGTCTGCACAAATGAGGGCATTGGTGGTTGGACTGTTGTTGGCCTATTGAGATTTGCCAAAAGGGCCATTCTCAGGGGCTGCTGACCAACAGGAAAGGTTGAATGACCATGCATTGATCCTAGTGGTGTAATTGGAGGTAAATCAAAGTTCTCTGATGGAAAAGTTGGAGTTGGTGGTGTCCTAGAACGTCCACCAAGACTCTGTGCATGAAGGTACTCTTGACGGATATCATTTAACAAAGAACTAGGGTCTCCAGGAAATACTGGATTTATAGCAGAGGCTTGTGGAACCTTAGAAAAGAAAAGAAAAAAAAATTAACCATGAAATCTCCTGGTTGTGCTTTTTACTCTTCTTA